GTACATTTTATCTGTTTTTATTGAACTATAATCCCCTTTCCTTTTTTTAACTGCACATACACTTTACAGTAAAATTTTGTACTTGACTCATTAATTTTTGTTAATTAACTGTGAGGACACATTGAAATGTTACATGTGAATGGTATATTTACATTGCATTGTAAATCTGGGATTGTGGGATCGGAGCTTGTGGACTTAATTACCAAGTCTTGTGCTGGCGTATTCTCCATGTATTTGGAAATCTGGGGTTAGTACAGCTGAGAGCCAGGTACAGCAATTGTAACACATCCATTATGTGCTAAATAGAGCAGGTGACTTGGGTCTGAGGCTTAATCGGCTGCCACCATGCAGAATGGCAAGAGTTGGACCTGAGTCATGGTGAGAGATTCTAACCCACCTCACTACCAGGGTTCTAGAATTCAGATCTTAAGTGCTTGCTGACCGAACTCAGGCAGATTTGAATGTAGGTGGTAGGTGGGCTTGGGCTCAAATCTGAGTGAAAGCTCAGGCTTAGTATGCAGTGTAAATATACTCAATGAGGCTGTGGAACAAGCTAAGGCCACAAAATGTGTTTCAGTAGCTTTGCTTGTCGCAAGCATTATTTTTTCTTTTTTGATGCACATACAGATGCAGGAGGAATTGTCGTCACTTTTGCTTGGCCTAAAATAGCATATCATTGGGGATGGCGTAAAGCACCTTTTAAAAGAAAAGTAACTTTTTCTACTCCAAGAATCTGACTCAGACTTTAGGAAGTTTGTTGTCATTTTGAGGTGGTGCTGCATGATCTAGAGGAGTACAGGCAGTACGGGGAGCCAGTATCTCCTGAGTTGTGTATCCATAACTGCCACCTGTGGTATTAATACTTTTCTTTATTTAAAAACAAAACAAAAAAACCACACACACTTTACACTCGGCTCTTACAGACTTGGGGATGTTTTATTTTAAACATTCATAATTTGAAAACTGCTGAACTGACTGTCTTCAAATATGGCTTGTTTTGTAGCTCTCATTGAGGTTTAGGTCTTTAAATTTTACTTGATTTTTATGCAATATTCCAAACTGTTTTTGGTTTTGTATTTAAAAAATTATGACAAATATCATATTTCAAGATGCCCAAAAGTCATATGAGTCTAACTTAAATTTGCACAAAATTAATTCTGCATTTTCTGACTCTAGAGTACTTTATTTCTCCATTGTCAGGTGGCATTTGTTTTTATGGACGTTTTCCACAACACAAATTCCATTCCTAAAGTGTATTGATATGATTTCTCTTCAATTAAGTCTGTCATTATGGAGCCATCCAGAACATCATCCTAGACATTTTCATATGCTCTGTACTACTTATGTCATTTGCAACAATTTGAAGAAAAAACCTCTTTCTTTATAATTGTTATATCTTAAAGCAGCATGAGTTATGGTTACATTTGACAGTTGGTGATTCTCTTAAATGTTTATAATTTATTCCTTGGGCTTGTGTCTCACAGAGTTGCCCTGAGAAGTTCAGAACTCCTTTATATATATGGTAGCCTTGACTCACGTGTAAGAGCTCTTGTGTTCAGCGTACGGTGCTGGGCCCGTGTACATGGCATCACAAGTAATATTCCTGGTCACTGGATTACAAACTTCTCTCTGACAATGATGACCTTGTTTTTCCTCCAAAAAAGAACACCGCCTATTATTCCAACACTAGACCAACTTAAAGCTCTAGCAGGTAAGAACAGCTCCATTTCAGAGTAGGACTGAATTAACTCTCATGTGTTTTCTCTCTACTCCGATTTCACCGTGTGAATCTCTGTCACTTTTGATGGTTCAAAGTAATCTTGAGTGTTGCAAATCTATTGTATATTTGAGGAAGTGTGTCTGTCCATCTGCGTCTCTATTCAAGAACTCCGCTTAAATAGTAAGTGCTAAGACCACATAATTCTGTGTAGAGATTCCTCTTAAATTACAGAACAGTAAGGCTTTGGTTGTGCCAGGAAAATGAAATGTGCCTGTAATGGGATTGCGTCTCATAATACTATACAGAAAAGAGACAATCACTAGGCTGGTGAAAGCCCCCAGTCCAAGACTGCCCTAGCCTTGAGCCTCTCAATCCCCAGTTGTTCTTCAGGGAGAGCAGGGGGAGGTGAAGCTCTTCTGTCCCCCTCACTTGATTCGTACAGAGACACTTAAAACCATACAGAAAAGAGATAGAATCACCAGGCAGGTGAAAGGGGCTGGCTGGGGGCACCTGTCCCAGCCCTGAGCTTCTCACCCCTTGGGCATCTTATAAGAAATTGGGTGGCGGGGGAGAGAGGGGAGAGCTGAAGCTCTCCCCCAATTTGTATGGGAACATAGCCACTATAGAGAGGCACTTCTCACCTGGTCCCAAGCTGCTATGGTGAGAGAGGGCTGGGGTAGTCCTCTCTCACCGGGGCAATCTGCATACTGAACCCCTCATCCTCAGCCCCATCCCAGAGCAATTATTTAAAAGAAGCATATACCTGTTAATTTTTGGTTTTTTATGGGGGGGTGAAGTGCTTGAGCAACGCTGGGTAAATCTAGTACCATATATTTGAAAAAAATGTCTGAGTTGTTGAACATTGCTACCGACTAACTGTTGCAAGATGATTTTTTTTGGAGAATCAGACACTTGATTTATTATATCTTTTAAATAAATGTTACGGTTGCAGTATTAATTTCCATTGATATTAATTTTATACCAAATCATTTATTTAAGTGCAGTAGAAGAGTTGCAATGCTTTTAGAAAAGTGTAATTTTAATTGGCTCAGAGTGAGCTTGTTCTTTGCATCAGGCAATTAAAAATCAGCCTTTATTAAAAGTCCAGGTTATTGTTGTTTAGGTCTGCTGATCATCTGTTCCTCAATAAATGAGCCCGAAATGACCATGTAATGTAATCTTTTCACTGTCATTTGATATGATGTGTATTACTTTATAGTAATCAACTTTGACATCAGTATTAAACTTGTAAAGAAGTTAATAGCAAAAGATATTAAGACCTCCTCAGTAAAAATATAACTTGCAAATACTTGCTGTGTGTCCCTGTGATGTGTTTTACTCATTTTGTACATGGGAAATGGATTAGGTTTTGCTCAAGAACAAAGAGGGTATTCCAGTGAAAAAGTGTGGAATAGAATTCAAGAGTCCTAACTCACCAGTCATCTGTTCTAATCTTTAGATATGCTCCCACCCAGGCTTGCGTATGGAGAATAGCAGTCAAAGTTTTTAGTCAGTTACATAAGAGTGGCTGCACTGGGTCAGACCAAAGGTCCATCTAGCTCAATAGACTGTCTGCTGACAGTGGCCAGCACCAGGTGCCCCAGAGGGGGTGGACCAAAGACAATGATCAAGCGGTTTGTCTTCTGCCATCCTTCTCCAGCCTCTGACAAACAGAGGCCAGGGACACCATTTCTATCCCCTGGCTAATAGCCTTTTATGGACCTAACCTCCATGAAATAATCTAGCTTCTCTTTAAACTCTGTTATAGTCCTAGCCTTCACAGCCTCCTCTGGCAAGGAGTTCCACAGGTTGACTACGTGCTGTGTGAAGAACAACTGTCTTTTATTAGTTTTAAACCTGCTACCCATTAATTTCATTTGGTGTCCTCTAGTTCTTCTATTATGGGAACTAATAAATAACTTTTCTTTATCCACCCTCTCCACACCACTCATGATTTTATAGACCTCTATCATATCCCCCCTTAGCCTCCTCTTTTCTAAACTGAAAAGTCCAAGTCGCTTTAACCTCTCTTCATATGAGACCCGTTCCAAACTCCTAATCATTTTAGTTGCCCTTTTCTGAACCCTTTCTAAGGCCAAAATATCATTTTTGAGGTGAGGAGACCACATCTGTACACAGTATTCAAGATGTGGGCGTAATACAGTTTTATACAGGGGCATAAGATATTGTGTCTTATTTTCTATACCTTTCTTAATAATTCCTAACATCCTATTTGCCTTTTTGACCGCTTCTGAACACTGCATGGACGTTTTCAGAGAACTATCCACGATAGTATCCACTTCATACTCTGGGAAGGAGTATGGCAGAAAGGGATCTAGGGGTTATAGTGGACCACAAGTTGAATATGAATCAGCAGTGTGATGCTGTTGCAAAGAAAGCAAACATGATTCTGGGATGCATTAACAGATGTGTTGTGAGCAAGACACGAGAAGTCATTCTTCCGCTCTACTCTGCGCTGGTTAGGCCTCAGTTGGAGTATTGTGTCCAGTTCTGGGCACCGCATTTCAAGAAAGATATGGAGAAATTGGAGAGGGTCCAGAGAAGAGCAATGAGAATGATTAAAGGTCTAGAGA